GTTATAAAAAACTGAGTTCTGTACAAAGCAGTGGATAGAACTGCACATCCAACTAAAAGACATTTTAAAAAAACTTTTCAGTTTCTATTGATGAGGCTAAATTAAAATCACTACAGATAGAGGGGATGTTTTGAGCAAATAAGTTTTGCAATATTGCCCACATAATATTTTTCTCCAGTCAAATAAATGACAATCTGCAATTTTGTTCTGCATTGCATCTTTGATGTTGTTTACAAATGACAATAAAGCTGATTCTGATCATGATTCAGTAATGATCTAGATATAATCTACTTATCTATAAATATGAATGAATTTGTGACTTTATTTGTGTAGTGGTCACCTATAGGGGTGGAATAAACAGTTCCACCTGTCTTTGACCTTGGTCTCAGAAGACCTTCTTTAAAGAGACAGAACTCTGTTCAATTTAAAGTCATAACGTTTTCTAAAACAGTAAAGAAATATTTTCATCTTATTAATCAGATAATAAACAGAATAATCTTATTTTGTTCATAATTTTATCAATGTATAAAAAGAAAACACATTATTTCAATGTTTTATTGTGCTTTGATGTAAACCACTGCTTGGACTTTAACTGTGAAACTACAGTAATTGATTATAGATTTTTAAGTTTAAATATTTTACTTAACTAAACTCAGCGTCATAATTAAGCTTTATTATGAAGCATTTTATAATTGTTTTTGTCTGAATCATTATAATGAATGTTTTCTATGAAATAATTAATGTTTAAGTTTTCAGTAAATCATTCTTTTTGTTCTTTAAAGTGCTCCCACCAGAGAGCAGGTGAGAACGAGCTTTACGACTGTGCAGACATCAACAATTTTTGTTTAAGAAAAACAACACCTGGCAGTCCTTCACTAACTTTCCTACTTTTAAATTAATGTCTTCGGTCTGAACTAACCACAGTCAGTCAGTTGAGTTGAGTTGGAAAGTGAACGCGCTCGTGCTTCACAAGGATGCAGCTGGCTCAATTCAAGGTAGTACATCGTCTGCACTGGTCTAAGGACAGATTGGGCAAATTCAAAAGGGACTTGGATCCGACGTGTGATAGTTGTAAACAATCTCCTGCCACACTTCTGCACACATTCTGGTCCTGTCCAAAGCTACATGGATACTGGCAAGGCATCTTTGACACCTTTTCAGGACTATTTGGACGAACTGTTCATCCATCACCACTCATCTCTCTCTTTGGGGTCGCTCCAGCAGAAGCTTCCCTCAGTGAACATCAGAGGACGGTGTTAGCTTTCTGCTCTCTACTGGCTAGAAGACTTATTCTTCTTCGATGGAAGGATCCACATCCTCCAGTATATGGTCATTGGTTAAGAGAAGTTATGTCTTACATTCATTTAGAGAAGATTAGATATACTGTTAGGGGATGTGTAAACAAATTTTTTTGACATCTGGCAGCCATTTATATCTTATGTAGAAAAATTTTCAGCAGATAATTTGTGAAAAGGTCAAATATTGGTTCTTTATCACAAACTGTGCATCGTTTTGACTTATGTATGAATACATGATGGATTCATGTTATGTAGTAGATCCGGTATAGGTGGGGAGGGATGGGAGGGATTTTGGGKGTGTGTGTTTTGTTTTGTGTTTTTGTAAGTCTGTTCTTTTTTGTGGTTTATGTTTAAAAAATTAAAATAAAAAGATCTTGATAAAAAAAAAAAGGATGCAGCTGGCTGTCCGAGGAGGAGAACCAGCATTTGGCTGCGAGGTTTAGCCCATTGAGTCAAAGGGAACCTCTCAACCTACCAGACCACCACTCGGTCTCTTCTACTTTGAGCTTACCAAAGTTCACAGAGAAACTTYTGTTTTGAAACTTCCATGGTGGAAGTTTTCTATTTTTGAGAAGGATACAGAGAAGCGCTTCATCTTTGATCTTYGATTGAAAGCAGCCCAGAAGACGCTGAAGGAGTAACGTAAACAAGCCTGGCAAGTGTCCGACTGACGAGGTACCGAGAAGTTCTTCACCAGTTGGACGATCTTTCCTCTGACTTGAGCCATGGTGGTGAAACTATTCCCGGTCAAGGTAATGGCTGTTCGTTACTGAACGTATGAGGTTTTGCTTGATCCATTGAGAGACGTACAGTATGCTGGTTAAAATCCACATTCTTTGAAGGATAAAGTTAAAACTAACTAATCTTCTTCCTCCATCTTTCTTTCCTCGCCCTGCCAAAACTTAAGAAAAAGCGCCGCAAACAAATGGTTTATTAACATCTGAACCTCAAAGTTTGTTGTTAAACTTTTTATAGGAAATTAATCTCACAATAATGAAAATAATTTGATTCTGTAAATAAATAAATGATCTAATTTATTTTAGATCAACTTAAATTCACTGAGTATGCTCATCTTGTGTGTTTTGTCCATTCATTTTTGTATAAAGAAGATATTACCGAAAATAAGAAGAACCCGTGAATTTCCTTATAATTTTTATTATAAGAAGGTGGATAACCGCTACATGATCATTTATAGAAAACAATCAAGACAAAAACCAAACTTTATAATTGGCATGGCACAAGAAAAACCAGTATACAAAAGCTTATCTGCCTAAACAAACCTTTTTGTAAAGCTGAGTATCCATCATGAAGTTATGAACGTGTTTTTCAGCTCTAGTGAGTTCTGACTTCCTTGCTACGACGGCGACTACCAAGGCAGTACAACCTGCTCCCTGAGGAAAAGAGAAGCAGCAACTAAAATCACCGCAGCAGAAATTAGCATCACAATTATCCATGCAGTCTGCAGTCCTGAAGTAGATTTTACATTAATATTTAAGGGACATACAAGACGGCAAACCAAAGACATTAAATCATAAACAGCTAAACAAAAATCAAACAAATCAAACATTGAAGCTTGAGTCTTATAGACTTAATTAAGGATGACAATGACATGAAATAAAAAAAGAAAAAGTAGATATTACTGACTTTATAAGGAATTAGTGCATGTCTGCACTGTAAAATAAAATACTCACCATAATTCCTGTTAGCAGACAAACCCCTTTTCCACAGTAGGTGTGAGGGACCATATCTCCATAGCCAATGGACAGGAAGGTGATGGAGATCAGCCACATGGCTCCAAGGAAAGTGCTGGTTACTTCCTGTGCATCATGATACCTGTCGAAACATGACACCTAACTGTAAAAAGTACAAGCATGTTAGAGACCATCCCCTGACAAACAGTGAGATATCACGTCGATACCTCTCACATATGCGGACAGTCCACGCTGCAATGATCCAACAGGACACGCTGAAGACAAGCAGGACAGTGCCCGGGCAGATGGTCATCAGAGTCTTCATGACAAAACGAGTGTCGAAGCTGATCTTGTTGAGGGCCCCGATGCTGCGAGAGGAGGCGTCTGTGAACAGCTTGCTGTGGAGCAACATGACCCTGCCGATCAGGTACAGGCGTAGGAACATGGGCACCGAGAGAAGGATGTCCACGTCGGCGTCGGCCACGGATGCTGTGTAGCTGAAGGCCAGGCGAGCAGTCCAGGTGAACACAAACCGACCCGGGATTGGGTGGATGGCACAGACAAGAAGCTCCAACGCAATAAAAAGAATCCTCTGAAAAGTCATGGCTATCCTCCAGTCATCTGCACCATTGTCCACCATGAAGAGCTGAAGATTTAAGGCATTTATGAATTATTCAGAAAATAGAAACTATAAGTTAGGATTTTTAAAAAAAACAACCTATAATTTAAAAATAACTGTGAGATGGTTATTTGAAAAAAATATTTTTGTGAAACTAGGCAAATGATGAACTTCACAAATAACCTTTTACTTAGATGAGTTGTAAAGAAGGAGTTATGTGGCCATTAGGCTGGAATTTTGTTGGTAACAAAACCAACAGAGTTTAAAAAAATGAAAACAAATAAAATACTTACACATGCAATAATACCATATAATGTAGTTTTTATTGATTTTACTCTGAATCTATTTTTTATTTGTAAAATTACAAAGAAAAACACTATACTTCTTTATATCAAAGTAGATATACTGTATACCTGGATTTCCCTTGCGTGGTACATCAGAATGAGTCCAAGAAGAATGGCGGTGGAAATGCTGATCAGGCTCTTTATTACATATGAATAAATAGATTCCTGGACACAGTAGAGACAAAATATGACCACAATCAGTGTGATGTGGACACACATATAAACAACAGCATATTTGAGAAATTGTCATGCATCTTTGTTTTTGTAAAATTACATCTTAAATAAACATGTTTTTTTATTTCTAGTTTATTGAAAACATTTTATGTTTCAAATAAAGGTCCAGATAATTGGCAATAACCTTTAAGATTGTAGTCAGTAATTTTTCTCACAAATTCCCAGAAAAAAAATTTATGTAAGGATCAGTTTAGTTATTAGTGTTAAGTGATTATTTTGTTCTTTTTTTGAAGACAGAATTTCTTCTCTCTTAATATTTAGAATGTCTGAACATTAGAATCTTTTAATATGCTCTCCTTATATTTTGTTCACCATAAACAACATCAGAACTAATCATAGAGGAGTAGGCTACAACAGAGACACACTGGTCTAAAAGAACAGATGTCTGCATTTTGTCAAGATCAGTAAGAATTATTTTTGATTGGTCTATACAGGAATCATATTTGGGATCTCTGGCATTGAAGTGCATCTTGCATCCTACTACACTAATGCAACAGATCTACAACAATTTTAAGATCTTTGATATAACTGAGCAAGAATTACCATTATCTCTTTTTGAACTGGGATACAGCTGATTTTTGTATCGTCTATTATTAATGATTTAGTACTTTGTGGACCAGTTGGAATGAGCTCACAGTCCTGATGATCACTGGTGCTTTCTTCACATCTGGTAAAATTCTGTAAACTTGTAGGTCTGCAGTGTACCTTGCTGTAAAAGGTCCTCGACAGCTCTGTCTCGATGACCATGGCAATAATGCCAAACATGCCACAGATCAATGCGTAGTCGCTCAGCTGTTTGCGCTTCCCAAACAGAGCTCTCCTCTGACTCAGCCGGTAGCTTATGTCTTTTGTGTTCTTCTGGGGTTTGCTGTCTTCCGCTCTGACAAGGTTCTCACTGTTGGCCTTGCTGGAGTCTGCTCTGAGGACTTTGGAGAAGGCGTCCTCAAGGATGGCACTGTGGAGGAGCTGGAGCGGCTGCTGACCGGACGGAAAATCTGTGAGACTGGAACTAAAAGTACCCTGGCTGCTGAGTGGTCGCTCTGCATCTCCGTTGAGGACATTGCCCGATTCCAAGGTTTCAGAGAGTGGAGGAGAGAATTTAGAGGGAGATACTTTCGATCCGCTGCTGTGCTGGGAGTTTGTCTGCAAAAGGAGATCAAAATGTTAACCAAGACCATTGTCATGAAGTGGACAACAAATCAYACTTTTTCTTAAAAGAATGACGGGCCTGAGTATTTCAACATAAAGTGTGTAAGTTTCAGAAACTAGAAGCTTTTCTATCACAAACTATCATAAAAATATACCTGAATATGTTGCTCCTCCACTGAATCCTGGTTCTCGAGCAAGCTACACTGGCTGGTGGAGATGGATTTTAAACTTCTTTGACTGCTTGTTGTATATGATCTGTGTGTATGGGTCAAACAGCTGTAAGGGAGATGCCGACACTTGAGGACAAAGGTTGGATCTTCAGATGACTTGCATGTTTGATCACCAATTATTGAGCAGGACTCCTTTTTCTGACGTTGCTGAACCAACAGCGGTTCCTTWCCGAAAAGCTTATTCCAGTTGACGTCTGCACTAGCAGGGAGCTGAGGCTCTTTTTGAACTTTATTCGTCTTGGCACGCTCAATGGACTGTAGAGGGATATTAAACAARTTCGGACATGTTGCTTGGCCGCAGCCTTTGAGTTTAAAATGACTAYGAGGCGACTCTTTCGGATCTTCTGGATCAGTGCGTTGAGGCACAACAATATTCCTCGGAAGGTTTGCTGGGAATTTCTGGGGATCTTTGTGGTTTGTTTGCTGTAAGAAGCAACTAGTATAACTGCGGGTGCTTTGAGAGAAAGGATGGGTGCGAGGTGAAGAAATTCTCTTATTTCTTGCTCGGAAACTTTCTCGAATTGATCCCCGATTTGATTGTGGCAGAAGAGTAGAAGTTTCCAAAGGCTGCTGACCCTCAGCACAGGGGCAGACACATCTGTCACTGTGGTTTGGACGTCTCRTGCTGTTCCCTGCTCTTCCTGCTGAGGGTGGATTATCTTCCRCGCTGCTAACCTGGTCACAAAGCAGCAGCCAGTCCTGGTCACTCAGCTGCGACAGGGCAAAGTTTGGGGTTTTTTGTGGCGACATCTGAGCCGAATCTTTTGGAGGACTGACACCGTTCGATTTGTCACAGAGTGAAGACGAAGCGCAGCACTGGCTCTTTTCCTGTGGCGATGAAGATGGGTCTCCCAAAGTTTCAGAGTATGGATCGTGCTTCTTGTCAGGACCTGTTGGGGCAAAATGTTCATGGTCTCCGTCTTGGAAGACTTCGCCTGTTGAGTCGAGACGTCTTGTGGCATTGGTAGGTTTTACCAGAATCAACCTCATGGCCTCACTGCAAACCTAAGACACCACATAAACAATTTTATTAAGTAGTACACAAGCACAAAAGAACGTTACCCCAGATCATTCCTCCGATCAGCTGTTAGACTCTATAACCATCACCACAATCTTGATGAGCATCCATGTTTGTGTTTGCACACCAAACAACTCTACCTCTCAATCATTACATAAATAATTACCAGTGGCAATTAATTGTACATCGTTTTTCCGGTACTGGAACACTAATTTAATGACTGAGCCTGACATGACTGTTTTTTCCTGTAATTTCATATTTTTCTGCACAGTATCTTGCTTTTATTTTCATTTTTATCTAATTTCATCTTGATAGTCCAGTACAGTAATTATTATTCTTATTTTTATTTTTGATCTATGTTTATTTTTTATTGTTACTGTCTTTAATTCTATTATTATTGCTACAATTGATAATGTCACATAGCAATATACTTTTTCTGTGGATTGATGTATGTATCTGCTGTTGCTACACCCGAATTTCCCCACGCGGGACAATAAAGGCTGTTTCTATTCTATTCTATTCTATTCTGCTGTTTCTTATTATCACTATATTATAACTAAATAAGTATAAAAAGTCTGAGATATTTTTTTATTGATCTTCTTCACATAAAAGCCAAGCAACTAAAGTTGTATTTGTGTAAAAAAATTGTTTTCTACTTAAATATGTTTTTAAATATTAGAGGCAAAGTGTGTATTCTGGCCTACTTACGTGCAGAAAATTTAAATGTTGCAGTTCGTTCCCTTTTTGCACTTTTAGAAAATTTACCTGGATTGGGTTGAGTAAAAAGTGCAACATTTGCCTCAGGTCATAAGTGAGTGCATGAAACATGTTTATAAAGCACAAGCATCTAAAATATGGAGTGAATTATAAAGCAAGTTAACGTTGTATGACAGAAAAATCTTCATAATAAAACCCATGTCTGAAATCAACACATACACACGGGAGGTAAAGTGTGTTTAAACTTGTTTTCTGAGTTAKTGATAATATTCACTATAGTCAGATTCCTTTAGCAAATAAGATTATTTAAGACATTAATTTGTTTGAGCACAGACTGTTTTCAGTACGCCGATAATAGAAAACATTCTGTCAGAAACAGATTAGCCCCCCTGTTGTTTGTTTACCAAGTCTCACAATCAGAGRCTGAGCAAATACCACAGAGCAGCTTTATATCTTATTTGAGTTCTTTAAATGTTTTTTTTTCCACATTAAAAATATGGAGGATGTCATAATATACCTCTGTATGCAAACACTTAAGAAAATTGAAAGCACATTTCAGTTTTATATTTTCTGTCAGTAGTAATGTAAAAAACTGAGAACTAAACAACAAATATGGGTTTAAAAAAGCTTTTTTCTAATGATGCCATAAGAAATCACGATATCACTCAGTAATCAATACGAAAAACATGAATAAAAGATCAGAGACAACTGTGAAAAAATACACCGCTTGAGTATCATTAACCTAAAAATGTTTTTCCCCTCATTAGCTCTACTTTTTCAGTAAGTTTCTTTAAAAGTAAAAATATGTGAAAAAATCCCCACTGTTTCAAGTCTTTCTTACCTTATGGGCTACTTTGTCTAAACTTGAAGAAGCAGGTTACAAACAAGGAGGGCACCTCAGCGGCAGAAGTGACATCTTAAGAAGACGAAGAGCAGCCTGAGTGGGTGTTGGACAGCGGTTTGCCTCCTCCCAGTACGAACACTTGATCAAGGAGCTTTAGAGATGCTTTCCTTTGAAAGTAATGATTAGAATTCAACATGAAGAAAAGGAACGGGCAGCAGCAGCTGCTGCCTGGTGAAGGGTTGCCATGCAAATGGAGCAAAGTGGGAGGGTGCAGGTTGAAAACAAAAATCTGGAACATCAGACCACGCCGTTAAAACAGAACATCACACGTAACGGTTTAAACACCGAGCTCAAAAAACTGGGAGGGGAGACCGGGTTGCAAAGGGGAAATGAGAGGAGTTGTTAGCTCGCGTTGCTAAATGGGATATAAAAGGTCAATTGAAGTTGTCATTGAAGCTCATGGTTCAAAGGCCTTCGCACCGTCTCTTATCTCTTCCGCCACAAGAGCCTGCAGGACAAAAGTGTCCATTTTTAAACCTGATTCTGCATGAATCAAGCCAGCGTGAGGGCTCATCACCTGTGTCTTAGAAGATCGAACAAATGCAACCGCAATTTGGCAATCAAATGACGAGAGATGCGTTTAAAAACACCAGCTAAGGACTTGCACACACTTTTAGTTTGATATTTGATGAGAGGACAAACATGAATGAATCTCTTAATTCTGCAGCTGCAAGTATGAAATAAAAAGGGGAATATATATGACTGAAGTCCTCAKCTGGGTCAGAACCACCAAGAACCTGACCAGAGCCCACCAGCTGGGTCAGAACCACCAAGAACCGGACCARAACCCTGAAAGACCAGCTCGTTCTGGCTGCTTCCAGCTTCTTCTCTGATGTGAAAAAAGAACCAGAACTAATCTGAAGATGTGTCTCTAAGATGTGGGAGGATCTTAAGATGTCTAACATGTGGGAGGAGCTTAAGATGTCTAACATGTGGGAGGAGCTTGACAGGTTTGTCGTTTGACAAAAAGAATTGTAAACAATCAGTAAAACGAGGGTGACTAGAAGTTATATCAGATTTAAAGACAGAACAGATGTTTGTGATGATATAGAGCATTTACATAATTCTTACATTTAAAAACAATAAAAGAGTGAACAAGTTCTGTCAAACCAAATTGAACTTTTGATTTTAGAGTTAAAATGTTATTTAATGAATGTTTTGAACTGTTCTCAGTGGCTGTGCTCACTGTTGCATCAGACCTGCTGCCTCAGCAGCTCAGTATATGAACGTTGCTGCGCTGGAGAAAGACCTTTGTTAAAAACTGCAGCACAGCAGACTGTTGCTTGACCGCATCCATGACGACAAAACTGATTTAAAGCCAACTAAGAGCTCTTTAAAATACTGCAAAAATAAATCTAAAAAGTTCATTGTATTGTTAGAACTACCTGTAAGTAAGGTTTGTTTAGATTTTTGCCTTCCTACAAGAGATTTTTCCACACAAAATCACTTTACAAGAATAACTTTAAAATCAGATTTTCATTCGTTATAAAGAAAGTTTTGTGAAAAACAGCAAGTCTTTAAGTTTAAAATCCTCCTCAGAGCACGCAACCATGTTGTCTCCAGTCATTTGATATTTAATTTTCTTGAAGCAAAAAAAAGCAATCTGCCTCTAGGAAATTTAAACCAATATCAAACATCTACTCTTTCAGCAGTAAGGTGGCAAACAATTTCAGCTTTTCTGCCGTGGATTTTTAAAGAAACAACTTTGATTGAAAGCGATAAAAGCTGTTGTTTTGCACTTTAAATACGAGGATTTTGTGTGATCGAAATCTCACCAGTCGATGTACATCCAGGTCAACTGTCAACCAATTTACCCTCTGAATAAAATGTTTCCTTTTTCATCCTGTTCGTTTCGAATAAAATGCAGAACAGCTGCGGCTGTATCTGACAGGACAGGATCGCAGTCCTAAACAGCCTAAACTGTAAAGATAAAAGCGACACAATATGTTAACGATTTTGAGGTGAACTTTAATAAGTTACGCTCAAAACATCTGGCTTCTCATCTCTCCAGAAAGGCTGGCAAAAAAAAAAAGAACAGATCAAATTTAATTAGTGAGAAGTCTCATTAGAGTCTATGAGCATGAACACGATACGGTGTTAATTTGATAAAAAATAAATTTTGCTTTTTTTGTCACTAGTGGATGTCCTCTGGCACAGGAAAGATTTATGGATACTTAGAGGCAAAACTCTCATCAGCAGCACACATTATTGACTGAAATTGTGACTTTTTTTCCAATACAAGTCTCTAATGTGCTCCAGCAGAGTTTCCAAAACAAATCGTGGCAAAAAAAAAAGAAAGAATTCACTTGGAGTTGTAGGAAGAAAATCGCTGATTCAGGGGGTTCTCTGGAGCTTTATTCCACTCCTTCTTCAGCTGCTGCTTTAGCTGCGACAGCCTCATGTTGGGGTTCTCCAGTTTTAGTCGGGGCATGTTGGCTTCTTCGTAGGCAGCGAACGCCGCTTTCATCCTCCGCTCTGGGTGGCGGTCCTGCTCCTCTGGTCCCGTGCTGGAAGTCGAAGTCACAGTCAGTCAGAACTCAAATCTGCTGTATTTTAAAAGGATATCCACGTCGCACATATACCTGAGCACAGCGATGGCGTCCTCTATTGTTCTGGCTTCCACAGCTCCTTCATCACTTATGACTCTGTTAATGTTCTCCTCCAACGGAGTCTCCAAGTGGCTTTTTTCTGAAGGAAGTGTTATTACAATTTAAAACAGAAAGCTCTGAKCTACAGCTAAGTATGCTTCTGTCCACATCTCCAATTTAAGCCCAACCTTTTTCTTGGATCTGCTGCTCCTGTTGCTGCTCGTTCTGTATCATCTGCTCAATTTGGGCACGAGTTACTTTTCCACCAGATCCAGCCTCCCTCTGAGCTTTGCCTTTTATCTGAGCACTTTCCTCATCCAGAAGTCGCTGGTTTTCCTTTTTCCTCTCAAGGAGTTCCATCCTCTTCTTCTCCTTGTCATCCTGCAGTGACAAGTTCATTTTCAGACACGAGTCGCTGAAAAGTGAACGAGAGCTTCGCTTTCAGGAACAGTGCTCTAACATCAGAATGAGTAAAGATGTTTATACTTACAGTATTTTCAATCAAACAATATAAGTTGCATAATAGATTTTATGTTGTGCTTTTTTTAGTCTCCATTAGATGGTTCAGAAAATGTAAATATTAGGGGTGCAACGATACAGAAAATTCACGATTCGGTTCGGATCGATACTTTAGTCTCACGGTTCGATATTTTTTCAATACAAAGAAGAGAAATTTCCATGCCCATTTTAACTTGTAATTTATTTAATTTAATTGTGAACATTTGTTTAACATCAAAAGTACAGTTTTTTAATTAAATTTTGCTGAAACAGCAAGTTTCTCAGTGGATCTGCGCTCAAAAATACAGCCTAGGTGGAGTAGTCGAACACAGATCCACTGATCCTTCAACACAGAGCATCTTCAGAAGACAWGTTGATAAAGTAAATTTTAAAAATCTGTATTTGTTCRATACAAGTGTGTATTGAASCTAAAGCGCTGTTCGRTAYGGGTACATGTATTGTTGCAGCCCTGGTAAATATGGAGTTAATTTCTCAGACACAAATACATAATTCCTGCCATTGTTACTTTACAACAWATACAAGACAAGTTCACCTACGATATGATAGTTTGACAACTGTATGTGAACCATAGTGTCAACATTAATTAAGATCTTACAGGTTTGAAAATATCTTGTGGCTGATGGGACAGCTCACCTTCCTCTGGCCTTTTTTAAGTACGTGTTTGTCAGTTTCTTCCCAGAGGGCATCCTCTTCCGCCTGCTTCTTGCGGGCATCWGCCACAGCCTTGGCCTCAGCCTTTCGGGCTCGGGCTGTGGCTGCCTTWGAGTTTTCACCCTGGAACTTCTTTGGCATCCTAACAGCTGCTTTTTAGCTGAGGGAGAGAAAGAATAGCATAAGAAGCAGACATGTTTGACCAGCATGGATGTGTTTTAAAATCAGGTATGCAATACCAACATATAATCTAGYGGTCACAAGTTATTATGAACTGCCRTTAGAGCTTTATCTCTTTATTTTAAAATATTGACGTGAATGATATAGTTAAGCCTGTTCAGACAGATGGGATATCTGCACCAAAACAGCATCCATTTTCATATATAACAGCAATAAATAGGTTGTAAATCTCGTTCCGCAAACTGACACTGTTTACCGAACAGACAAATATGCAGAAAGGATTTTAAAATAAAAAAAAATGAAACGTCTAGTATGTTAAAATATTTGCACTGTGTCCCTGTGGTTAAGAGTAGCATTTAGCATTAGCTGACTGAAAACCTACTTGTTTACTCGTTCAGGAGCTGACGGCTCACCGAGCTCCTTCACTAACATTTAGCTTATCGTCACAACACCTAACTTTTTAATTAAAATGATTTTTTTATACCAGTATGAAAGGAAAACCAACCCGAAAGGAGACAACAGTTTACTGTTTCGAAGAGGCATCCGCCACCTCCTCCTCAGCGGCGCGTTGTGATTACGTCATTGACAGGTGGCCGCGGCTTTGTGTGTAAATAAACTTCACTCAACGCCCAAATGGATTGATTTTGTAAAATCTATACTTTAAGGGAATAAAGATTATTATATATTTAATAAACTTTATAGTTTTATGTTGCACACTTACAAATATWACATAAACACGTAATACTTAGTTATAAGGTTCGATAAATCAGATAAATAAATCACAGAGGTGAACTGACACTCATCTTTGTTGTATTCTCAAAATATTTACAACCTAATAATCAATTTGACACTCTTATATAAAACTGATCCCAAAATATTACATTGATATTCAACCCTTTGGTTTTTTTTTTATTATTGTGCCTGTGCATAAATCTTGATATACCTCTTTTTTATATTTGTTTCCAGTGAACTAAACTTGTTTTACTTGTTTTTATTGTCAAGAAATGAGTCCCTAATACGTTTTGATTCAAACGCTGCATTTTTGTTTTTCACTAATCTGATCAAATAAAAATGAATTAATCATCACATGACTAATGTATAATTATATCACAGTATTTATGTCATGCCTAAAAAATGATGCAAGAAAACATTAAAAGAGTTATGTATTTTTTAATTTTGGTAAATAATTCAAGCAAATATAAAAAAACACGATTTATGTTAAGAATAAATAGGTGAATTGATACAAAATTGATAAACCTGAGCTGGAATAAAGAAACACCAATGAACGTGTTTGTGTTTATGTCAAAACTATAAAGAAAAACAAAACAGTCTATGGTTCATGTGTTCATTCAGAAGTCATCATCACTTTCCTCCAGCAGAGGGGGTCTCACGCCCCCCCTGGAAGGTCGGTTGTTCTTTGACATCGAGCCGTCCAGACTGTCATTGTCCAAATCCTTGCTCTCGTCCTCCTCATCCTCCTCATCCTCGCCTTCTTCGTCATCCTCATCCACATCAATCTCACTGTCTTCGCTCTGAAACAACAAGCAAACAGTAATAACTGATAATTCCTTAAAAGATGAAGTCCGTTTCCAGGAATCTAGCTAAACAGTTTAATAAGTAAACATCTATAATTCAGGGTGACACTTTTTTATATACACACATTTAGAAACTAACAATGAAAGGGGGAATATTTCAATTTAAGTTAAAGACAAAAGCAGCTATTGTCTCACATATCTCACGGGATAATCTAATCACTGAATGACACCTTTTTCAGAGAAGGAAATGAAGAAAAATCCATCCTAAACTCTGAATTTACAAGAAATTAAAAAGTGCAGTTGCTCCAAAATTATTATCTCTTCAGTTTTGCTTTTGTACTTTCACATTTTTTTTTAGAAATCACAGAGTGTTTGATGATGAAAACAGATGAGAATCTGCTCTATAAAGGTATATTTTGAGAATGGATTTTTTCTTTTAGATACAAAAGGAGAAAGAAAAACGGATAAACTGACTCCTTGTCCTGCACAAACCTTTCCTTTTCGCAGTTTTTTGGAATGAATGGATGACTTTTTGCTGACAGCTGAAAACACCTAATGAAATTCATATGAATTAAAAATGTCACAACAAACAACAGTAAACGAAACAAGAAAGATAAAAAAAACACGGAGTCAAAATTTTAACCAAAAAGAGTTGAAAGACTAATCAGCTGAAAGGCTACAATTTAGCTGACTGAAATACGAAATGGAAAATAAGCAGGAAGTTATTCCCATTGAGGAACATTTAAAAACACAAATAGTAAAACAGAAAACAGCATCAGCTGAACATAAAAATCAAGGTGAAACAAAGCAATAAGAAATATTATTGTGTCAAGTTCTTTACTGACCTCATCACTGTCACCACCTTGCATGTTACCGATAAAACGCGCCCCTCTCCCTTGGTAGGGGAAAAAAAGATTACCATGAGTTTATGAGAGCGAAAGAGTTGGTACATTTTCCAAAAAAAAACAAAAAAAAAAACAGAACATTTACATTTGAGAACAAAGAATAATCTAAAGTTCTGGATTAAGATTTTTTTTTCTAAGTTTCAGTGAAAAGACATGGACATATCCAGTACCTGCCATGAGGCCGTTCCTGGTGAGTCGAGGTTTAGAGGGCCGAGWTTCTTCAAAGTCGCTGTCTGACCCTTCGTCCTCTGGAACGTCCAGGTCTGAGTCGGAGTCTTTCACTGCCAAAGACAACAAAACGCTCAGAGAAGAAAAGTTGTTTTCACTCAGCTTGGTGTGTCTGTGTTCGGTTTCCTTACAGGAACCCCTCATCAGATCTCGCTCCTCCTCTCTCAGTTTGTGCTGCATTATCCTCAGATTGTTCTCAGCTTCCTGGASAGCACACAAAACAACCTGGGTTAAATACAAGGCTACAAAAATACCATCAGTCTGTATTCAAACTTTTTGGGTGGAGTGGGGTGTAGTGTTCAAAAAAAGTCAATTTACTCCTAACTTTCTGACACTTGTTGCCACATCAGTCCAGATGATTCAAATGAACCTGGGTTACAGTGACGAAGTAGCAACATCTTTTGCAAAAATGCATCTTTTTTTGTCTTTCTTTTTAAAGGAGACACGATTCAGTGCTGCTAAAGTCACGTCGATCAGTCCACACACCTCAAACTTTTCCTGTTCTAGTCTGTGGTATTCCTTCAGTTGAGACTCCAGGAAGCTGAGGTTTCTGAACTTCTCCACGTACACCTCGTAGTGCTTCTGCAGGTCTTCTTCTATCTTCTCATATTCGCTCATGAATGCTGGCCTAGAGGATCAGGAACGAAAGGGTTTTAATTGGAGTTTTGTTTAAAGATCGGTTTCAAATTTAAAACAGAAACCTTAAACACGATAAGATGAAAGCAACAAGTTGTCGTTTTGTTTGTTCGCAGAACGGACCTGACGCTCTGCAGGGTCTGCAGCCTCTTCTGCTGCCGCTCCAGGTCTTGTTTTTTCTTCACGATCTTGGCGTCTAAGCTGTTCTCATCTGAGACGATATTATTTAGCATCTCTTTGGTCTTTTCCACGCTTTGCTAAAAACAAACAAACAAAAAAAAAAAAAAAACAGAGCAGCAGATTCGATGCAAAAAAATTAAAAGTCACAATGTGCAAAATTCAAGGTCAAAGATAGAAATTTGCCAGAACACTGACCAGAACCTCCTTGATGGCAGCTCTCAGGGCTTTTTCTGTCTCGTTAATATCAAGAGGTCGAGCGATGGCAGCGCTTCTCATTTTCTGTTGGTTTTATAAAGTTAAACGCAAAATTTGTTCAATTTGTTTAACAGTTTTCCAAAGCTTTTTATTATTATTTTAACTTAATTTAAAAAAAAACAGTCTCCTCCTGCGCACTATCACTCACAGCAAACTCATTTAAAGCTTAAATGTTCAAAGAGGGATAGTTTGATTAAGATTGTAAMGGAATCACCCTTTTTTTAACCAAAGTGAATTTTTAGATCTGAACTGCGTTCCCCTCACCCTCAGTTCCACCTCTTTCCCCAGTAAATCGTATAAAGATGCTCCTTTGGATGTGACTTCCGAGGCCAGCTGACGAGCTGTTTTAACATCCGAAATCTAGAGTAAAAAACAAAATCAAATTAATTCAGCACGCAATTTTATTGGACAAGATTTCAAAAGAAATACCAATTGTGGAGGGGAAAAAGCCCGTTTTCATTTGTTTTTAATATTTTCTACAGCTGCTTGACTAACTGAGAGACTTCAGATAGGATACATTATTCCACAGAAATACACTCCTGATCAAAATCTTAAGACCAGTCAAAAAACTGCAAGAATTTGCACTTTGCACTATTGGATCTTAAGAAGGTTCTAAGTAGAGCTTCACAATGTTAAAAGAAGAAATCAGTGCAAGAGACAAGAACTTTTGAGCAGGGAATTGTCTGAAAACTGCATTTACACTCAAACATGATTTTTTCAGCTGATCAAAAGTTTAAGACCATGGCTCAAAAAAACCTGAAAACCCCCCAAAACAGAAATCAAAGTGTCAAAAAAAGGACTCAGTAATGAGTAGCTCCACCATTCTTGTTGATGACTTCAAACAATGGTTTAGGCATGCTTGGTGCCAGTGTTTCCAGGAGGCTAGTGGGAACGTTGCTCCAAGTGTTGAAGATGGCTTCATGAAGGCCATCCACTGTCTGGAACTGATGTCCATTTTTGTAAACTTCCCTTGCCATCCATCCCCAAATCTTCTCAGTTGGGTTTAGATCTGGGGAACATGCAGGATGGTCCAAAAGAGTGATGTTACTCTCTTGGAAGAACTCCTTTGTCAGGCGGGCATTGTGAACTGCAGCATTGTCCTGTTGAAAAACCCAATCATTACCACACAGACGAGGGCCCTCAGTCATGAGGGATGCCCGCTGCAACATCTCCACATAGCCAGCTGCTGTTTGACGCCCCTGCACAACCTGAAGCTCCATTGTTCCATTGAAGGAAAACACACCCCAAATCATGATGGCGCCCCCACCACTGTGCCGTGTAGAAAACATCTCAGGTGGGATCTCCTTGTCATTCCAGTAACGTTGGAAGCCATCAGGACCATCAAGGTTAAATTTTTTCTCATCAGAGAAGACAACTTTCTTCCACCTTTCAATGTCCCATGTTTGGTGCACCATTGCAAAGTCCAAACGGGCAATTTTGTGGCGTTGAAGAAGACGTGGCCTTTGAAGATGTTTTTTGTTTCTGAAGCCCTTCTCTCACAGATGCCGTCTGATGGTTACTGGGCTGCAGTCAGCACCAGTAATGGCCTTAATTTGGGTAGAGGATCGTCCCGTGTCTTGACGGACAGCCAATTGGATCCTGCGGCTCAGAGCTGGTGAAATTTTTTTGGGTCTACCACTTGACTTTTTTGTTCCATAACCCTCAGGATCATTTAAAAAATGCAAAATGACTGTCTTACTGTGTCCAACTTCAGCAGCGATGGCACGTTGTGAGAGGCCTTGTTTATGCAGCTCAACAATCCTACCACGTTCAAAGTCAGTGAGCGTTTTTGCTTTTGCCATCAGGAAGTCTTGACAGTGTAAAGGCTTGACAGAAAATGACATGGAATCCAGATTTTTGCACAGCTTTTGGCTTTTAAAGACTATGGTCTTAAACTTTTGATCAGCTGAAAAAATCATGTTTGAGTGTAAATGCAGTTTTCAGAAAATTCCCTGCTCAAAAGTTCTTGTCTCTTGCACTGATTTCTTCTTTTAACATTGTGAAGCTCTACTTAGAACCTTCTTAAGATCCAATAGTGCAAAGTGCAAATTCTTGTACTTTTTTGACTGGTCTTAAGATTTTGATCAGGAGAGACTACAGCTGCCTTAAGGTGTGAGGAGTGTGAGTCTGCCATATTGCTTGAGTAGGCAAAGTCACATCTAGACCACTAAATGTAGAAATGTTTTGTTTCACATTTCTGCTTCATTGATGCATTTATTATGAAGTCATTGTTATGAGATTGTAAATGTGTGATTTTAATACTGTACTTAACTCTTAGTGACTTTGTTAAAGTGCTCACAGCTTACTACAAAGTTAATAAATGACTGAGCTTAAAATATTGTCACACAGATTAAACTCACCCGTGAGCCAAGGTCAAACTTAAACTTGCTGTTTTCTTCTTCCACTATATCCTCCAGCGCCATCTGCTTGGTTTTCATGGCGCCGTAAAGCATCGAGGCAATCTTTAGCATCTCTTTCACTGCGTAGCCATCTGCTTGGTAGAGGTGTTTGGTATTCAACTTGATGTGAGCCTTTGTCGCCTAAAACCAAGTCGGAAAACGGTTACGATTGACTAGCTAGAATTTAAATGAGCAAGAACGTGGAGCATTATCTGCACACATAGGTCACCATAAACTGAGCCACAGCCTTGATGAAAAACACTCGGTCTGACTCTGTGTCCACATCAGTGGGGATATCAAGATTAGGTTCGTATCTGAAGGAGGGACAAGATTAAAATAGAGGAAACAAATTAAAACAATATGAAGCACCACATTTTAAACTCCAAACAGAACAAAATAAATAAATGAATAAAAATTAAACAATTTGACAGCTGAATAAGTATTTTTTTCTTTCTTTTTTATTTGAAACATACCTCTTTACAAGCCAGGTAAGGATTTCTGCCACTAAGACAAAGTTGGGTGTCCTGAAATTCTCCATCGATATTAAGCGCGGGTACCCTAAGGCCCTCATCATTTCCGTAAAATCTGTCAAAAAATAAAATAATTTAAAAAATAGTTTATTGTTTCAACAATATATTACTCTCTACATTACTTGAGAAGAAGAGAGCAGGTGTCGCTTACTTCTAAGGTCTCTGAAAGACATTTTTGCACTGAAAAGTAAGAGAAAATATGAGTTGTATTGTTATATATTTTCATTGTTATAATGAACAAAGGCGACAATCAGATTACAGAAATCATTAGTGTGTTTTGCTGATTGGGATTGCAATGACAAGTGATATAAAAGAAGCGATAAAGACAACCTCGGTTTACCTGCTTTCCTTCCCAAACACCGCAGGCTGTTTGTAGCTAATTAGCTAGCTGTTAGCAATAAGCTAACGCTTTGAGTCGCCGGCAACGAAGAACAAGTTAGCATCTAAAATTACAGGATAACTTTTTTTGTACCTAGTTAGTAGATATCAAACGAATCTGAAAGTATTTACAAACAGTCGGTTCCCTTCGATCGCTATTCAAGCTAATAACTCCGTAGCATCCGCCATGGATGATCGCCATGGAAACAGAATCATATCTACGGAAAGCCGACTGRGTCAAAACGCCTTGAAAGAAATAAAATGTATGTTTGCGTTTTTTATCTCGTTTTTTTTTATAGTATTATTATTTCGCTTTTATTCTTTAAGTGTGTATTTGTCTTTACTGAAATTAAAACATTGATTTGGATTGTTTAAATATTTCTTATACTGTAGTAACAATTTCATTACACAAAAATTATGTACACACAGATATAACAGCAGATCATTTGCCTTCATATCACCCTTTTTATTTGCATAATATTGTCACACCATTTCCTCCTTCCCTATATCCCAATCTGTGTTCCTCTTTCTTTTGTCTATCTCTCTGCTATCTGTTTTTGGTCTAACATATTCACATCCCTTCTCTGAAGTCCAAAACTACTATTTCTTTATTTCAGTCATACCTTTTCTAACTTTGTCCCCAAATAAATGTTTTGTCTAAAAAAAACTAAGAAGAATAGTTAAATTATTCAGAAATGTGTTCTGGGAAAATTATAGCCAGTTTCCTAAAAGGGTTGTTTATTTACATTGTCATTAGTGTTACTGTCCTGTATTTGCATTCATGTATAGTTTATTAAATAATCCAAATTAGGTTTTATTTACAAAAAAACAGACAACTTATCAATTTGTAAAATATAGAATTCAAAGATATATGCAGACAATTAAACAGCTTCATGATATTTGAGCGGATGTCTGCTGTGTTGATGGTTACAGTACTATCCAAATCCACAAGGTGGCGACATATCTGATATTGTGTTTACACAATAAAAAAAACCACTCATGTTTTATATCCTGATGCATCTCAGTAATCAAGGTAAAAAAAAAAATCAAAAAGAACACCTAATTAACACTTATTGTTAACAGGGGGTGGAGTGATACTGGCAATAGCCGCGCTGTAGGAGGAGGACTATTGAAAACGGAGGCCTCCACCTCTGTTTAATGATGGACGGTCTTTCTTCACAAAAATGGCTTCTTTTACTCCTCTCTCAAACCAACGTTCCTCTCTATCAAGAATGAGAACATCCTCATCTCTGAAAGAGTGACCGCTGGCCTGTAAATGAGTGAAAACTGCAGAGTTCTGGCCATTAGATGTAGCTCGTCTGTGTTGGGACATTCTTTTGAACAGTGGTTGCTTTGTTTCCCTGATGTATAACTGGTCGCAGTCCTCCTGGCACTTAACAGCATATACAACATTGCTCTGTTTGTCCCGGGGCACTGGATCTTTGGGGTGAACCAGCCTTTGCCGTAATGTGTTTTGGGGTTTGAAAGCCACTGGGACATCATGTTTAGAAAATAAACGTCTCAGTTTCTCTGAAACACCCGCAACATACGGAATAACCACTGGTTTGGGTCTGGGTTTGGGGTCTTCATTTTCACCTGAAGGTTGCATGGAATCCTGTCTGTGTTTCCTGTCTGCTTTCAGGAAAGCCCAGTCAGGATAACCACACTGCTCCAGGGCCTGTCGTGTGTGTGATTTCTCTTTCTGCCTGGCTCCTGGATTTGTAGGGACACTGTCTGCTCTGTGGTACAGAGTCCTGATCACTCCTAACTTGTGTTCCAGTGGGTGGTGGGAGTCAAAACGCAAATATTGGTCTGTGTGGGTGGGCTTACGATACATGCCAGTTTCCAACAGTCCTCCATCCGAAAGAGAGAGTAAACGTTTCATTAAAGAAGAACCCGTCCAGAGGACCTATACAATTTTTTTCCCTTTTGATCTGATTTTGTGTTTACACAATAAAAAAAACACTAATGTTTTATAGTTTGTACTTAAATTGGTGGGGGRAAAGGCTGTACTATTGAAAGTCCAATAGTACAATACAGATTTTAATATGTTACCACCAGCTGCTGGAAGGGAAAAAAAAACATTGTGATGGAGACCCCCCTCACGATCACTACAGCCGAGCCCTTTCAGCACATTCAAATAAAAATACTCAGAAAAACGCAATAAGTCAAAACAGCCTGGTGATACGTAAGGCACACGCTGAACTGTTTATAATGCGGACTTTTATCAGAGGAGGGCAGTTTCTACTATATTTAGTTGAAGTACTCCATCATGTCCACCAGGCGGCGACACTTCTGAGTTAGCTTAGCCACCGGTCTTTTGTTGTATGGGCTGTTCTGACGCAGAGAGCATGATGGAGCAAACAGGAGAGCCCCCTGTCAGCAACAACAGCCCGACCAGCAACGAACCTCCGGCCTGCGGCCTGCACAGCAAACGCGTCAAAGAGCTGGAAAATGCCGCCCTGCAGACTACTTTAATATCACAAATGGAGAAAGAATCCGGAGCGGATCCCGGGAGCCGGGCGGAGCAGCATTCCGGGCAGGGCGAGCAGTCGAACGGCGTGTCCTTGAATCACCGGCGGGCCCAGCCGCAGCTCGGCGCGGACACGGAGGGAGTGGAGCCGGGGACGAACACGGCCAAGCAGCGGGTCGAGGAAGAAAGGACGCTGACGGACCATTTAAACAAACGACTGCTTTCCTCGTTCCTGGAGAAGCTGAACGAGAGGGACTTGGCGCTCCCCGGGGTTCAGCGGCTGGACTGTGCTGTTGCCGACGAAGACTCGAACAGGGCCGYGGAAGAGTGGTGAACAAGCTCCGGGCTGGAAAATCAATGGAGGATTGAGGACCAAGGTGCACGAAAAGCACAATCTTTTAGCTATGAAGATAGAACTATTGTTAGTTTCATAAAAAAATAAAAGATCTGTGTGTCCGGGAATGTTATCAGAATGCTTGAATAAGTAAGACATATGCAATAAATGAACATAATGCGACTTGGAAGTGTCTTTATTCAACATTTATCTGGACGCCATGATGGCTGCAGCTGCAGTTCTCAACATTCACCACCAGATGTCAGTGTTTACAACAAAATGTAAGAGGGCGCGTAATCAAACTGGTAATGCAGCGTTCAGTTTGTTTGGGGGTATTATCACTAACGTTTAGCTCAAATTAACCACGCTTCTCTGTGGTTTCATATGGGCTGTGGCCGTGTTGAAATGCGTAAAAGTTAAAACAGTTTAAACTGATGGATTTTAAACAACAGGATTGTGGAAGATATTTATTGGTTTACCAGGATTTTCTTAAATATGTAATAACTAAAAATAGAAAAAAAAAAAGTCTAGTAGAAACTTAAGATGACAATAAGTAAAAATTGTGGTAAATGTCACAAAAACAGTAATTTTGCAGCATGATTCCAGGATATGCTGTAGCCTACTACTCCTCAAAGCAGGGGTGGGCAGTCCTGCATGTTTTACCTTTTTTCTCTGCTCAAACACACCTGATTTGAATGAATGGGTGATCATCAGGCTTCTGCTGTACGGAGGACCGAAACTGACATAAATAAAAAATAAAGGCGGAAATATATAAATTGACTAATAAATAAATATACTTAAAGT